CACAGTCTGGATCCCGATCTGCCATGTACTACCTTTGTGGTGGTAGACAGTTTAATTGTTGTCCAGTTGAATACCATGCCTAACCCAGTGGGCCTCATGTGGTTCCCCAATAAAAGTGGTACATGACAGATCTGGATCCAGACTGTGTACCCAACAAGTAATGGTACAATAATCTTCATAACAAGACTCGGGAACATTCTTTAACAGGTAGATCACAAAGGCCCGGAACCACTAGCTTTTTACGCCACCTATATCCTGCACAGACACGTTACAGCACATTCGGTAGGGAGGCACTTGCTACTTACCCTCCCGTAAGGCATTTTCGTCATATTCTGGAAGGTCGTTTATTTGTGACTCCCACGGACCACAAGTTGTTGATTTTTGCCTAGAAGAACCGCACGGATAAACACTCCCGGTGGGAAATTCGACAGTTGGATTTCATTTCATTTTTCTATTAAGGTTTGTCATGTTTCCCGCCCAAAGATGACCTCGATGACCAATATATACAGGTTCCGGAAAATGTGTTGGATGAATACCCCTCGAAAAACACCTGCTTTGGCGGTCTTCAGCACATCAGTCCCATTAAAAGTGTTTTCAATAAAATAAGACGGCAGCAAGCTCATCCAGATGAGGTGGAACACCATGAGTTCAAACCATACAGAGAACCGAAACCTGTTTGGAAAAATTCTGGACGAGACAATTACCGATTTGACAGAGAGGAGTGTTTTGCACTTCTGAAGTGGAAACATTGCTCTGAAAGCATGTGATCCAGCCGGCAGGACGAGCTCTGTATGGAAAGCGGTATACATCTATCGCCTAAATGCTCTGCGGATCAGGTCTTGGTAAGCTGAAAGTTCTGGCTGCGAATCCCTAAGATCACCTGCTCTGTCTCTGACAACCCTGGTGGCATCGGGACCATAAACGAAGCACGTAATCATTTCTTTGTTATAACGATGCTTATACCAAGATCTATTAGACATATCACCGAAACCCAAATGAGCATGCACACCCTGTTAGTAGACGAAAAGTTCGTCACCAATGACCAACAGTAAAGTTAGGAACAACTTCCAATGCAAATTCAACAATAACATCCCTGTTTTGTGTATCAAGCAATAAGACAATCCATCTTTGGTGCGCACTCGTTAGCCAGTTACATATTGGATCTTCTTAGGATGCATGGAAGGCATGAAGGAGCAAAGCTTTTCAAGCCGAACAGAATATTGAGTCGCGTACCGTCAAAATAATTGCACCACAAACCTACCTGTGCAGGAGCTGTCATGGAATCAGCTTCGTCCAACACAATTAGCTTGTATGGTGGTGGACCGTTCGTGCTTGCGGTACCACCAGACACGGCCAAATGAGCGAAAGTCTTCACCTTTTGCCGTATCACCTCTATCCCACGCTCATCACTAGCGTTCAGCTCCAAAACACGTTCCGAGTATAATGGCCTGTTGAATTGGGCGGGGGGTGGGGGAGATAAATAGGAAATAGCTGTACCAATATCGGAAGGGGCAAATCAGACTTCCAATCAGGAAAGGATTGAACAGTGGCCATAAATTCCATTGCAGCATGTGTGGGAAATGAACGAATCCTGCACACGTCCGACAAAAAACAAACTGGAATATCTACTATAATGCAAATTAAAATTTGACGTCGATGTCCAAGCCGGAGTCCCGCTTACTTTTCGCGGACTTTGGTCTCTCTTATAGTCAAGCCAGACATCGAAGTATGTCAGTGCCTAGCACCTTGGTGACTGGGATCAAAATTACCCGCATTGGCTTTTGCAACCTATGCGAGATCCGTTCTTGAAGGTGGGAATGATCGGCAATTCGCTCTTGGGTCCCACTGTGCACTAAGTTAGGAATAGAGCTTAAAAGGTTATCGACCCCATCTTGAAAATAGTGTGGGGAACCCATTCGGTCCTGGTGACTTTTCTCACTTCAGGGCTTGAATGCAAGACCGAACTTCTGCTTTTGCCGGAGGATCGCATGACACTGCCTAAGGAACTTCAGCCGCAGACTAAGAAACCTGGCTAGCGCCAGACCAGCTGATTTGTTCTCTGAAGTATTCTACCCAGCGATCAAGCCGTNAACTGGAGTTCGCCCACCTCCCGTATTGCGTACCAGTCGGAACAGCCTGAGTATTCCTTGTTGCAACGGCTACTTCCATTTCCCTAACTATTGTTGTTCACTGGTTTTCACGGTCCTTCTTTTGGCTTTTCGTGAAATGACGTTGCGGATGCTGGCAGGTAGGAATTTGTCATTCTTCCTACATCAAAACTACTGA